TGGCTGGGGAATTCTGGGAATTGAAGTCCACACATCTTCAAGTTGCCAAGGTTGAGAAACAATGTTCTATATACTTCAACTCTGAACTGTCTGCAGATAGCAAATTGCCTGCCAGGTCAGATGATTTCTATCTTTCCATACAGCCTTCTTCATGACAATTCCCCATCCACTTTTTTTGAGGTATACTCAGCTAGATCAGAGTAAGGGGTCATTTCTGGCAGTAGTGCTGAGGGCTTGCAGGCCAATGTGGAAGGCCTTGTTGTGGCCCACAGCACCAGCAATCAGAGGAATGCCTCTTATCATCACGGAGGCATCACCCAGTTTGGGCATAAGTAGAACCATTTCCCCCAAACTGCTGAAGTAAAAATAAATATTTAAACAATCTCCCTTCTTGGTCCTTTTCACCTTCTGGAATGTCAAGCAAAGCTAAAGTTTCCTTTGAGTCAAGGCTGACTTCATGAGAACCTCCATATCAATTTCTTGGCAATGATATGGAGGTGGTTGGCCAATACCCTATCTTGGAAGCTTTTTTTTGACTTTCCAGTCCAGCCAACATCCTTAGAATTTCCTAATGGTCTCCTATCCAAATACTAACCAGGTCCAATTCTGCTAAGCTTTTTGAAATCAGCCAAGTTTGGCTTGGTGCTGCCCCCTAGCTAAGCTTTAAGAATGTAAGAAGCTACTTTAAATCAGATTGGGTCATTTGTCCCCAAACCAAGTAACATCCAAGTGTGTGGGTCTACATTTCCCAGAATTTCCACGCTGTCAGGGAATCTTGGATTGTCCAGCACACCTGGATGGCGCCATGTTGGGAAAAGCTGAGTAACAGCAGAGTTTCCAGCATAAGCTTTCCCATCAATCACTGCCTGTACCTTTTAGTTGGATTTCTGTATTCAAAGCGAGTGTTTTCTCCTGAACTATACCCCCTTCTAAATCATCAGCCATGAGGAGAAACACTAACTCAGACTCAGCTATTGATTTGTAAACCATACAGCATGGGTCAATAGGATGTTGTGACAAAAATAAAGGCACATATTAAACATGAAGACAATTCACTGGCCCCAATACATGTTTCAGTCACAAGAAAAGTCAATTCATGGCAAGTGTCTTCCTCATGAAGAGGTCACAGACCTGGGAGGAACATCTAGGATGAGAACATCAGAAAGACACCAAAAGGAGAAGACAAGCCACTATTTGCTCTTTGGAATGTCCTCTATCACCACCATCCTGGCATGGAGAATTATGTACCTGGCACAAAGCTTCCATGAAGTGTTTCCTTGTATGCCCACCAGTCCTCGTAGGTCTTTGCAGGAACAAATTGCACTAGAAAAGGAGGGAGGAGAGGAAGATGGAAGGAAAAATGGTAAATTAGCAGAGGTGAGAGGACAGGAACAAAGAAATGGCCTATATAGATCTCTGTTTGCCACTCCTTGTCATATAGATAATCCAACTTCCCTTCTCCTCCTCCTCCTTGCTCCCCTCCCCCTCCCCCTCCCCCTTCCTTCCTTCCTTCCTTCCTTCCTTCCTTCCTTCCTTCCTTCCTTCCTTCCTTCCTTCCTCAGACTGTCCAGAACCCAAACTGAGAATGCTGATAATCAGACTGGCAGGCTACATCCCAGGAAACATCCGAGATGAGAACAAATCAAAGCTGCTCAACAGCATGGAATATGGAGAAAGATTCTCCACATGCTCAGAGACACTTTTGCCTCTAAATTGGTGCCTCTTCTTGTCCTGTTCTGAGGCTGAGACAGAAAAGAACAGGTGGGATCTGAGCCTGGGGAAATTTCAAGCTGTGGCTAATCAGGTATCCGAAAAGATGCATCGGTGGATGAAACGGGAGAGGGATTAGAAAGAACGTGACAGGGAAAATTCCCCTTCAGAACAATTGATTGATTTTGTCTCTATTAACTAGCGTCCATAAATAAGGGGATCTTTTTGTGGGTGAGGGTGTATATGCACACCCATGCTCACAAATAGGAATGAAAAAAAATTGTGCATGTATATAGGTCGGGGCGGAGGTGAAAGAGAGAGTTACCCCTGGCTGTGGCTCCACTGGGGTTTGCTTCATCCTCTTCTTCCAGAGAAATCCCTTTCCTTTCACATCAAGCAATACAGTCTCTGCCCCCGCCAAACAAAAACCCAAAAACCACATTCCGGGCTAATCTTTTCTCCCCCTTCCCCTCCCTCTCTTCTTTCTCTCTCTTACCAGCCATACAAGTTGCTCCCAGCAGCAGCAGCAGCAGCAGCGATCCCAGCAGGCAGAGCCCCCCGCCTGGTCCGGTCCACATCCTGGTGGGGCAGGAGGGGGTCTTAAACCTGGAGCTGCCCCCTCCTCAGCATCCCGCGGCAAAGACCCCCGTCCGCAGCCTCCGGAGATGGAAGTCGAGCCTCCTCGCGGCCGGCCCTTACGCCCCCCGAGAGAGAGCCCTCATCCTCGGAAGCCCCCTGCCCTTTCCATGCCCTCTCGCTCTCCCGCTCCCTAGGTCTCTTTCCTCGACGCCTCCATCTTCCTCCTCCTCCCGCCCCTTCTCCTGGGGATACCACCACCTCCCCCCCACCGCCCACGTCAATTAGATGCGGAAGATGCTCGGGTGGCGTCCGGGGAGGGGAAGGCGCTCCGGCCGTGAAGAGTTTGCGCGCGGGGGTGCGGGGTGGAAGAGCTCGCCCCGCTTCGCCGCCTCGTCCCCTCAGGCGCCTGAGCGGCGGGACTGCCCGCTACGCGGCTGGGGGCGCTGGCGCTGGCGCTGGCCGGTGGCGGGGGAAGGAGGCGCTGCTGCCCGCGATGCGTCCTTAACTTAACTTCTTTCTCGCTCTCTTTTCTTTTCTTTTCTCTTTCTTTCTTTCCCACCGCCTCTCCCTCCCTCCCTCCCTCCCCGCGGACTAGCCTCTTCTGAGCTGCCTCCTTCTTTCCCCGGCTTACCTTCTGCTGTCCCTCCCTCTGCTCTTCTCGCTTTTCTTTCTCCACCTGTCTTTCTCCCCCCCTCCTTTTCTGCTTTCCCCTCTTTCTCACTCTTTCACCTCTCCTTCCACCTTCCCTTTCTCAGCAATCTCTCCTTCTGCCTCTTCTCTGCCGTCTTCCTCAGTCCCTCTGCTTTCTCCCCACTTCTTGTTTTGGGGGGAC